CCTCGTCTAAGCTTTCCCCACGACGGGAACGACGGGAATGACGAGAACCACTTGGATTTGAACCAAACGGATCGACAGCAGCGGCGCAAGGAACACCAGGATGGAGTCGATCAAGCTTGAAGATTGGCCAGCGGCAAGCTGGTTCCCAGTCGTAGGCACGTCGCGGAGCCATCAGGGTGTTTGCTTTCCCACGTCGTTCCAAAACCCGCTCAATCCAGCGCAAATTGGATGGTTGGACTGCGTTACCCCTCCATCCCGGCACCGCGGCTCTGCACTAGGGCAACGGGGATGGTTGGTTTCCGGGTATATAAAGAGTGACACTTACCAGCCTTGACCATTGTGAATGATTTGTGTGGTTTTTTTGTTTTGAATTGGTTTCGTTGTATCACGAGTATGTTGCTCAAGCAGAGGATGTTGAGAAGGAGAAATGAAAGGTCAAAGTGTAAAGAGGGGAAGAAGGGGAAAGTACCTTATGGAGTCTCTGAGACGGGCCAGCTGCCCAGCCCAGACCGGAGAACACTGGAACACTGGGGAGAAGAGACACACAACACTGGTGAAAGGGGCGGGCACCGCTTCCACAAACTCTGTGGACGCCCAATGAGGACGAGACGTTGTATTCCGTTGCAGGAATAGGCACAATTCGGAATTCCGAGGGAATGAAGCTCGCCTCGCCTCGCCTCGCCTCATCTTCCCTGAGCCTCTGGGGGACGCAGCAGCACGGCAAGGTTGCTCGTCTTCTCGCCCGCTGGCTTCCCCTGGTGTCCGGCCTGTTTCCCCTCCCTCTCCGATTCTGGCTACGGTCCAAGTCCCGATGAAGGGCCAGCAGCACGCCCAGCTTGCGCTTGGATGGTGGGGTAAGCTATTGCCCCGCTCGAACATTATCTCATCGCCGTCATCTTGGTCGAAGTGGGTTCAGGTTGAGCTTCGGGAGCAGCTGGTTGGCTGATGGTGTAGCAGTCTTCTGGGATGCTTACAAATAAATGGATGGTGCAATGCGATGGTGAAGCGGAAGGCACTGCGGGAACTCGTCAAGCTGCTCGGTCCATTACGGTACTTTCTTGCTCCAGCTCCGCGTTAGCACACGCCGTCTCTGTACAGAATCATTGTCCAAGCCATGCGGAAGAGGGCCGATGCTCGGCCTGCCATGTCTTGAACGCGCGCGCGGGAGTGCCACAAGTTGCGAAGAGCCACTCTGACCTAAAATCTCCCGCCAACTGTGGCTTGAGCCGCGACATCCTCCGTGAATAATTCCTGCAGAGTCAGCGGCGCCGTCAGCGACACGGCGCACCTCATCGTCCGAAAATGCCGGGAGTGGCTTGGGCAAGGACACTCGAGAATATGATAGGCCTCGAGGCCTCTTCACGTGGTATATAGTCTGCGAATGACAAGCCTTACTGTTCTGTCACGACAATTTGGGAGGCAGCCAGCTTCGTTCAATGACTCTGTGGTAATAATAGCCGACTCGGTACCGTGCAATTGGTCAACGGCACACCGCACCACATAAGGCAGTCAGATTGGGTCGATAGAGTTTAGGTGCAATGGAGAGATTCAGCCATTATCCGACATGGGCTATCCGTACACGTTATCAGCGCTAGCATGGAGCTCTGGCCATATGCCTGGCGGGGTCGTTTCGATGCCTCTCTCGTAAACGACTTCTTTGACATCATGACTGGATTCCAAGGATCGTAAAGATGTCGACGATGAAACATCTTTGATAGACAATAATGATCTAAAGCAACAACCTGCTCTGCAATGCTCCGGAGGGTGCCGGGGGTGGTTGCGAACGCCCATAAGATCGTTGGCACGTCGATATGTCAAGGTCAGTATTCACAACTACCATCCCTGGCAGCTTAGGTCAACCTCGGCACGTTGCGAGAGATACACTACACTACCTACACGCGAATTGACGTCCGCTTGGCCAGCACCGGCTGGTTCGGAACCAGCTGCACCCGTACGTGTCGAACAATGAATACGGAGTCCCAAAGACGGACGAGAGCGAGCAGCTGGAACTAACCTGAGGCACAAGGGGCATGCCTCCTGCATGAATCTAAACCATCCCACCAGTCAAGATTGTCTCTTTGACGGCTCGGGAATGCTGATGACTGCGGAGACCAATCCCGTGGCGCCGTGCCCTCAGATGCAGTCAGCCCTACGGACCAGAGCTTACGGTCGCGGCTTGCGTTAGTTAGGTGACCCATCTTTGCGGCCTTCCCTCGTCATGCTGCAGTTCAGGATGGCTGGCATACGAAACCGCAAGATGCCTAGGGAGATGCCGTTCAAATTGACACATCTCGTTTCCAGAGACGTTGGGGCCACCTACTGAACGAGACAATGAACAGTCTAGAGCCAAGGAGACAGATGGGCCAAGACTCAGCGACGCGCAGGTTAATAGCGATCCCGGTGGGACACGTGGTGTGAAATAGTTCCATTGATCTTCTCATTGTCATGCTTGCAGACGTACAGAGGAATTCCAGGCCAACCTCAGTCTGGGATCGGTGGACGAGAGTCGCAGCAAACCCCTTGGTGGGATTTCGAAATCGCACATTCCACCGAAACAAGTCTTCAGCAAGCGCATTTTCTGTGTGACCAGGAACGGAAAAGGTTACCGAGAAACGAGACAATAAAGTAGCATGCGGATCAATTGGACATAACGCGCATCTTTCTTTTTCTCGTTTCTAAATGGACGATTGAAGAAGCTGGGAGGCAACGCCCCCTGTCGGACATTGTGGGAGAATAGGTATACAAGGATGGGGTCTGCTAGCAAATTAATATCCACCCGGCAGGGACCCCGAATTGTAGGAATTTTCCGTTCGGCCAGGTTTTGGAGATGGTCATCCAACCGTCGTGCAGCCCGCTGCCCCAATGTGCGTCTAGTCGAAATACGAGACTCAAAGGAGGTGGTATGTGGGATGGGGGGGAGGGGAGGTGGGCTGCTTCTGGGATCAAATGAGTACCTAATAGACTTGAAGTACCTCTGTGCTAGATATTCATCCCCCGTCAGGTAATCAGTACAGCAGCAGACGCCAAAGAATACAAAACCAAACAGATGAAAATATAGTGGTGAGGTGGCATCCATGATCGATGGTGAGAATGTCGCAGGGCAGAAAACGAAACAGGTCAACGTCCGCCATTGGCCCACGGCCCCCGAGTACTGTTCCAGCTTGTCCTTCGTGTCGGTACGGTCAGTCGTAAATCATACGTACTTGAGCCAATTCATGATTGGCATTTCAGAGTGGGCCATTGTGTTCATCCTGGGACCGAAACGAAGTAAAGTTGACGGAAAGTTAGACTGGGAACATCAGACGGCCACTGAACTCACGGTCCTCAATGTCTGAGAGTCTCTCATCACTGTTGCCCGGGCTTGCCGTCTATCTCAGTGCATCAGCAACTCCCAGTCTTCTTTCCCTCTCTCTGCTCTCATCTCTCACCTCGGATATTTGGAAAAGGGCGATGAATGCAGAGTGAACAAGACTCAAAAGAGTAGGTACGTACTCGCTCGTACCTTAATTGGACGTATCAGTCAAGTCCGCCCAGCCCAGGCCAGCCCACCTCGATGCTCGAGTGAAGCTGCACATGTACCTTCCCACATCAACTTAGCCGTGGTGGTACCTCACTGCCTGAAGGGTCCAGTCGACGTCCTCGATCATCTTCCCCATCCTGTCCGTCCCAGTTCACTCTGGTGCGGCCAAGCCAAGACTCTCCCGGCCCAGCTTCAATTTCTTCTTCACCTGGGCCTTTCACAACACATGACGGCCGAATTGCCAAGTAACTGGCTTGGTTCTTCTTCTGGGCAGTGTATTCCTGTTGGTGCCTCACATTTTGGTCCCAGCGCCGCTCCCACACCCGCACCCACAACTTCTCATCAGGTACGGATACCTTAACCTGAACTTTACCGAACCCAATTCATCATTAGCGAAAAGAGAGGGATGCGTCGGGTAAATCTTCTTCTACTCACCTAACACTACAAAGCGACCGACACGAAACCATCGCACCCCGTCGCCTGGCTTGAGAAAGGGTCCAGTCGGCCAGTCCACGCGTATTTCCACCCGGTCGCCCACCCCGCAAACTCCCACGGGGTCAGCCATCGAGGGAGGGTAACAGCGCAACACACAACGAACGCGGACTGCGTGCGACTCGACCTACTAGTCTGGGGAGCGAGAGATAGCGAGAGGGTGGTTCAGCAAAGACCTCAGGGAGACCAACACTATCCTAGAAGAGGAATTCAGACATCACTTCAGGATTCGCAAGATTACGCTGCCCTACACTGCACCACTACCAGCCGCAAGCCAAACCCGACGACTCTGACCTTGCAACTGGACTCCTGTGACGACCCTCCAGCCCCGTTCTTGTGGCTTGGTTTTCGCTCTCGCCGCCAGGCAGACGCACCGTGTCGCACCGTGCTATTCGTTGCTTCACTGCTTCACCTCTTCTCACCATCCCACCCAGTGACGGTAGGGCTCTTTTGACAGCACCCGACCGTATTTTCTCGCGCGACTTGTATTCAAAGTTGCACCCTTCTTTTTACCTGACGCCCTTTCAGCTGCTCAACGCCCCGTTTGCCGCGCGAAGATCGCCTTGTGCCAGCCAGTCTTAGGCCAGATCAGCCCGACAACCTTCTCCAAATTGCCGTCGCCGCACATCACTGCCCTGAGGGTAGGCCCGAAAGACGTCAGTCCTACTAGGCCCGCCTGCGCCGCACAACAGCACCACCCACGAGGCTCGACCCGCGACCACCCGGACAAACAACTGTACAACTTGCCAACTTTCACTTTCCACCCTTGGCACATTGCCAAACCTACGAAGATAGTCTCTCGTGTATAGACGGACCAGCGAGCAGCGAAACCGCACGGTATAGCGACCAACTCTCCGATCGAGCTCGCTACGAACAGATGCAATCGAGCATCACCCGGCTTTCTGCTTAGGTCGATGTAGCAGCCTGCCGCAGAGGCTGATTTCCAAGACCAGTCACATCGTCGCTGTTCCCGTCCTGCGCGATCACCATGTCTTTCCGAGGCGACGGCCAGCGCCGTTATGGCCATCTTCCCCCGGTGCAATACCCCACACCCGACCAGTCGCAAGATCAGTCGGCTTACCTCGGGCGGCGGCCGAGTTTCAACAATGGCGATGATGCCGCAATGTTCGATCAGAGCCGAGCGCAAGCTCGTGGTCATCAGCAGTCCGCCTCGAGAGGTGAAGATGAACTCTTCCTAACAAGCCCGACAACTTCAAGCCATTCTGGAGGCCGGCACAGCTACAGCTCAACAAACAATGCGCTCTCCGGTTACCAGCACCAGTACCAAGCTTCGTCGCCTCCGACGTCTTCGCATTCAAGCTACAACCCCCAAGCCTTTGCGCGGACGCCGTCGACGGCGTCGGCATCTCTCCCGTACCACCCCGGTCCCCCGAGTCGATATGGATCCGCCGCTTCGCCGACATCATATACATCTCCAACGCAACCTAGCTACCAGCCGGCAGCCTACAACCCGGCTGCGTATGCGACCACGACAGCTCCTCAGCGTCAACCGACATACTCCGGCTACAATAACTACAATCAAAGCTACGGCTCCCCGACGGCTCCCCAGTCCTCCCAGGGGTTCGGCCACTCGCCCACCTCCTCGTACCAGGGCACCTTCCCATCCGCGCCATCCGCGACTTCACCGGCACCAACCTATGATTCGACTTTTTCGCAGTCTTATGGCAACAACTATAACTCCTATGCGACAAATGGTAACAGCTCAGCCGCGTCGTACGCTTCGGACAACTCACAGACACCTTACCCAATCCAATCGTCGATGCCCGTCGGACCGAACTACGCCGATTCCTCGTCCTTTTATAACAGGTCTGCGCGATCGGACTCGGCAGCATCCCCGATTTCGTCTCCGCAGATTCAACAGCAGCACTCCCCCGGCTTGCAACGACATCCCACCAACGCCCCTCTCCCGAGCCGGCCGATGGAAGAGCCTACCTGGGACCCGAGCGCTATCACTCCCACAGACGAGGACCAAGCTCAACTACAAGACTCTCTGCTCCAAGACATCGAGGCTGAGTTGGGCGGTCGGCACCGCCCCATGCCAATCAACGGACAATTCTCCGACGACGAACTTCAAGGACTACGGCGGTATAATTCTGACCTTGCTACCGCCGGCATGGCACCGTCCTCGAACGCGCCGGCTGCTAACAGGACTCCAATCCCGACGTTCGATTACGACGATGACGACGACGATCCAGAGGGAACTGCGGGGGTGTTGGCCATGCAGCAGGCGGAGCTGGACGACAAGAGATTTAGCAGCGTTCCATTTTCTTTCACCGAGCCAGTCGCCATGAACCCTCTCCCACCACCACCTGAAGAACAGAGCGATGATACAGACTATGGCGGGATGGACTTGGGTGCGCTTGCTGGGGGCTACCCTGGGAATCTGGCATACGGCAGTGAAGTCGGCCCAACACCGGCCCAGGACGGATCCCGGCCGCTCCCCAACCCCGACGACTACGATGTTTCTCATGAAGCCTACGAGAGGGCCCCTGCTTTCCGAGATGCGGAAGTCGACTATGGCGGCACGGGCGGTCTGCAGGCACCGTCTGCTCACCGGCTAAGCTTCGACGATGGCGATGAACACGTGTCGCTTCACTCAAAGCAGAGCGGCAGCGAGTCGCCGTACAAGGAGGACTATCCTGATCTCTACTATCATCCAGGACTTTCCAACAGGCCGCTTCCGGCGCTTCCCCCAGGTCCTGGTAGCGATACAAGCTCTCTACTTTCTGTTCACCCGACAACTCGCAGCTACCATTCCCACTCGCTCAGCACCGACTCGCGAACACTACATGATGGCGGCTCAGACTACCACGGCGGAGGCTCTACCGGCCTGAACTCACCATTCCCGGAGCGATCCATTTCCCTGTCGAGCCACAGTCACACGCCCCAAGTACAAGCTCCGGTTCGGTCACGGACAGATGCCGCAGATGAGAGGAGAAAGATGGCCCGCTATCAGACTCAACAACAACAACTTGCGGCACAACAGGGCCTGCCATACGATGGCTATGAGTCGGGTACGCCGTCATCGATGACATATGACATGATCACACTGCCTAGCGGTCGGAAGAGGAAGTTCGTGCCGTCCAAGCTTACTTCTAGCGATATCAGGAGATGCTATGAGCCTTGGGCTCTTAGCGGAATCGCCGCATGGATTCGCGAAATGGCTGATGGCGAACCGGACTTGAAGCAAAAAACAGTCGAAGAGGCATTGCTCAAACTGTTCACAGAAAAGGTCCCTACCATCAATGTTGCCGATGCTGAGCTTCTCAGTACCCTCGTCTCACAGCTGATGTTGGACGCTGGAGTTCTTGTCCCAGAGGAAGAATGGGTCAAATTCGGAAACGGTACAATATCCGGAGTCCTGCCGCAACTGACGGGGTATGGCTGTTATGCTCCCAAGTTGCATGACGACGACTCTCAATCCGGGCGCTGCTACTCACATCACTGTATGAGGACACTCAGAAAGGCCAACCTAGATGATGTGCTTCTTGATGAGGTCAAGCCGGCGGATTGGAATGTTCACTATAAGATACAGGAAGCTGAACTCGCTGAAAAGCCGAAGAAGGAGATTGAGCGTCAGCACGTTCTCCACGAGATCGTCAACAGCGAAGAGTACTTCGTCAGTCAGCTCGAGGTTCTCCGTGTACTGTACCGAGATCATCTGCGGAACTCTCAGCCTCCCATCATTCCACCCAACAAGATCGATAAGTTCCTTCAAGTCGTGTTTGGAAAGGCTGATGCCGTCCAGCTCGTCAACAAGGACAACCTTCTTGCACAGCTCAAGTATCGCCAACAAGAGCAAGGCCCCTGGGTCTCGGGTTTCTCTGATCTTTTCCGTGAATGGATCCGGAAAGCCAAAGACGTCTACATTGACTATGCATCACAATTCCCGTACGCAGAGTACATGGTGCGCAAAGAGTCTGACCGAAATCTGCTGTTCCGCAATTTTCTGGAGCAGGTCATGCGGCACAAGCGCTCTGAGCGCTTAGGATGGCAACATTTCCTCAAGACCCCCATCACGCGCTTGCAGAGATATTCTCTGCTGCTCGAAACCGTTGAGAAGAAGACACTTCGAGACGACGAAGAGAAGGCCAACTTGGCAAGGGCAATCGCCGAGATTCGCAATGTCACAATGGAGTGTGACACGAAGGTGGCCGAGATGCAAAAGAAGGTTGAAATGATGGAACTAAATTCCATGCTCGTTCTCAGACCCGGTTTCCACTCGGTCCTCAACCTTGACCACCTCGGCAGAGAACTTATCAAGCAGGGCGATTTGCAGAGAATGGGTTCCAAGGGTGTGAGATGGGTCGACACGCATGCCTTGCTGTTTGATCACTACTTCATCCTTGCAAAGGTTGTGAGTCCGAAAGACGTCAGAGGCGAGAAGAAATACGACGTGTCAAAAGAGGTAAGTTCTCTGTACCATCGAGGAAACATCGATTGATGCTGACGTTGTAGCCTATCCCTATGCCTCTACTTTTCCTTGATAGCATGAACGATGACCCCATTTCGAAGCAAAAGGGCATCACTGCTCCTCTGGCTCGCGCTGGCGGCGCAGGTTCGGACCCAAGGTTGAATCGGATCGCTGCTAACGGCACTGAGCGTCCTGGTCTGGAACATGCCGCAACCAGCTCCTCGATTGGGTCGACATCAGCAGCCAGGCTTACGCCGACATTGTCTAACGATCCTGAGGGTAAGATTCTCTACCCTTTCAAGATCAAGCACTTGGGCCACGAAACATACACACTGTACGCTACATCAGCTCAAAGCCGCGCGGAATGGGTTGAGAAGATTATTGAGGCCAAGACACGGCATGCCAAGGCTTTATTCTCTCAGAATGCCGAGCCATTCCGCCTACGTGTGCTGGCAGACAGTGCGTTCGTTTATGATGCAGCTTCAGCTGTCGGCAGGCAACCAGGCGTTCCCATTCGCGGAACCCCTCTGGACCGAGCTGTCCGGGAGATCGAGGAAGTTTACGGACCTGGCAGAGGGCCAGCCCCCGTGTGCAGAGCCCAGGTCAACTGTGCTTGCGGCTTCAACGCGTTTGGCAAGTCGATCGTTGCCATTGGAACAGACTATGGCGTGTACATCTCCGATGCCACAAATCCCCGCGGCTGGATGAGGGTAAGTTGAAACAAACCAGCGTATAGCCCGGCTGATCGCTAACGAGCCTACAGAGCGTACAAACAAACAGAGTGACACAAATAGCTGTCCTGGAAGAGTTTTCTGTCTGTCTCATCATTGCGGACCGCTCTCTCATCGCTTATCCTCTCGATGTCATTGCGCCGGTATCGAACTTCCCTGCCCCTGCTCACGACAACCCGAGGAGAGCGCCACAAAGATTAGCAAAGGATGTTGCTTTCTTTGCCACAGCGCGCATGAAGGAACGCATGTTGGTATTCTTTAAGCGGAAGGAAGGCATGCACAACACCTTCAAGGTACTCGAACCTGTCTTCCAGAAGGCGTCGGAAAAGAGACCTCGGATATTCGGCGGCCGCAAGGGTTTGGGAGGCAGCACCGACTCCTTCCGCGACTATGACGAATTCTACCTCCCTACAGAATGCTACTCCCTCAACCTCTTCCAGAGCTATATCGCCGTATCAACGGCAAAGGGTTTCGAGTTGCTCACCCTCGATAAGAAGCAGACAATGTCTATACCCGACCTGAAACAGCCCGCTATTGCGAACATTGCAAGCAGGATACGGGATCAAAGACCTCTAGGCATGTTCAAGTTGAACGATCAAGAGTTCTTGCTGGCGTACGAGGACTGTGCCGTCTACGTCGACAAGCACGGCGATGTGAGTCGCACTTTAATTATGGAGTACTCGGGCAAGCAGAAGAAAGCTACAAGCGCGACAATGTATGGCCAGTACCTCCTCCTTTTCAATGGAGACTATGTCGAGGTACGCAACGCCGAGAACGGTCGCCTCAGACAGATCATCGCCGGTCGCGACGTTAGATGCCTTGACTTCGGCGTCAGAGGCCCCACTGGTGGCAATGCCTCGGCCTCACAGAACAGTTGGCTCGGCGGGCAGACACCCGCAGGAGATGATTCCAAGGGAACGGTCAAGATCTCCATGAGCCACCCGGAACAACACGGCGTGCAGGTCGTTCTTGAGATGCTTCTCAACGATGGACATATGGAGAAATAGAATGGTGCGGTGGTTCATATCAGACCAGATGCATTGGGGATGCCACGATTGATGAGAGGGACAGTTTGCGCGTCCCATGATTGGGTTGGCAGTCAAGGTCTCCTGGCATATTTCACACCTTTGGAAAAAGTGGCTCAGAGAGCCGGTTTCTTTTTCGTTCTCTTCGTCCTCGGGCGAGGCGTTCCTGACTAACGAGTACGAGTGTGGATATGATGCTATGCGCGGACCGCAAGGCGTTTTGGGTCGACGAGAATCATGAAAGGGTTTTTGCACGCGTTGGAAAGGGGTGGCAGCGGCGGCGGCGGCGGACACGGCGGTTCATGTGCTTCCCAGGCCACGGCCGGGATTTTACCTCTTCCTCTTTGTTTGGTGGTCAAGTAGGAGAATTTTTTTCCCACTGATATAGCCTTGGGATGTGCAGTCCCCGTAGAAGAGGAATATGACGATTTTGACGTTGGCTTTCCAGTGTTTACTGGTGTCTTCTTGTTAACTCGACTCACTTTGGTAGCTAAAGCGACCCTAGATCTGTGCTAGTCAACACAAGTAGGTAAACTCAGACTTGTAATGTGTACGGATTGTTGAATTTGATCAGATCTGGCGGGTTTATTACCAAATTTCTGGCAAAAAAACCTACATCAGGTGGATTCACCTTTGACACAGAAGGGGCTGATGGGAGAGACTCTTGGCTTCGAGAGACGGGTACTTTCTCTGCCTCTTTTTCTGTCATCTGCCTATTGCCTAGGTGCTTACCCAGACGGGTAGGTGCAAGTAGAAGGTTGCTCGCTTCTAGGAGGGGACGGTTCTTGGCAGCATATACGTCAGCATAAGCATCGGGCGCGCGGACAAGCAAGGGATCACGCAGGTAAGCCTGTCGGATGGGAAGGTCGACTTGAAGACATCGGCCGCCTGCTTCGGGCGTAGTCATAGACAAATTCGTACTTGCTGTGGAGGCGTTGTTTGCGCTCAAAGGAAGTGGAAGCTGGGTTTGGTGCAAGTTTCTATCACTCTTCCTTTTCCAAGGGGCATGACTTCAGTGTCCTTCTCGGGTAGATTTATTTCAATTATGAGCATTGGGAAGTTGACTCAGCTTTGGTCAGAAGAAATAGGAGGTTGAGATGAGGTACGTCACTTGGGCTGCTTGTTGTTGTGGATTCATCTTTCCGCTTTTCCATTGTGTACTACGCCTCTGCAGTATTTCTACCAAAAGTGAGCAGAGAATAATGTAAATCAGTCCTCAGGAGTCAGGAAAGAGAGTAAATGGCACTCTTGGCGTTCAAGTGACGTTCCATTTCCGCGCCCGGGTTCCGTGGGGTCTGAGTCGAGGTAAGGCTGGTAGGCCGGGATACGGCGGCGGGCGAGCGTCAAGGGTTCGGATCCTGCTTCGTGCGACCTGCATGTTGAACGAGGATGTTGAACGCGCCATGCTAGGTGTGGAAGGTCGGCGAACTTCTAGACGCGTGAGCCTGTCTACGGAGGTAAAGAGAGGGTGAGACAATTATCTGGAAGTATATAAGTATGTTATTGCTTTGTGAATCGCGAGGACTGGGTAGCGAGTGAGAGGTAGGAATGAAACGAGTGACTGAAGCACCACTCTCGTTCTTGATCACTCGGGTGGTGATAAGTTCTACGTACGAGCAAAGACTTTGGTTTCACACCCGACGTCGTTCAGCAGACTGACACGAGTTTGTAGACGGAACACCACAATCCGAGACACGACCAACTCGGCCGCACAATGCGCTCCTCACTCACCCTCCTAGCTACGGCCCTCGCGGGCCTCGCAACCGCGACGCCGTACCAATGCCCGCCCTTTGGCCCCGTCCTTCCGCAAGCCAAGTCCCCGAGCACCCACCCGGCCGTCCGCGCTGCCATCTCCACCTTCATCGCGGCCCTCGAGGCCGAAACGGCAGCCTATAACGGCTCCGCCGTCTCCATCGGCGTCAAATATGCCGCCGAACCGGCCGATGCCCCGCCGCTTGTGGACTTCCACTTCACGCCGCGGGACCGCGACCCGCAGGGCGCGCAGATCGTGGACGGGAACACCGTGTACCGGCTCGCGAGCGTGAGTAAAGTTTTTGCGGTGCTCGCGGCGCTGCAGCGGGATGATGTGATTCGGTGGGAGGACTCTGTTGCAAAGTATATCCCCGAGTTGAGGGATGTGCCGGAGGGGCGGAGCGCGTTGGATTATGTTGATTGGGAGGATGTCACTGTTGAGGCGGCTGCTGTGCATATTGCTGGGGTCGGTGCTGATGGTAAGATCAAGATGAAGATCCTCCCTGCCGGCTCATGTTCCTGGGCGGATTGGGATGAGGGCATTGTAGCTGACTTTTTTTTGACAACGGTAGTCATGACGGACGGCGCGGCGTATCCTGGCGATTGGGAGTCCCTTGGGCTGCCTCCTGTCTCTGAGGAGGAGAAGCCGAAGTGCGGAGGCTTTCTGGGTCTCCCGGGCTGTTCGAGAGAGGGTAAGTGAATCACGAGATTCGAGTAAATCCCAACTGTGGGAATTCCAAGTTCCCGTAGGGAGCCTACCCCGGTAACTAACACAAGTGCAGAGTTCTTAGACGCCATGAAGAACCGCCGACCGCCCGTGTACCCCGCTTACCAGACGCCCGTCTACTCGAACTTGGGCACGACTCTCGTAGGCCTGGTTGTCGAGGGAGCGACGGGCAAGTCCTTTGAGGAAGTGTTGTTCGAGTCCATACTAAAACCTGCGGGTATGGTCAACACCACGTACGGCAAGCTGCCCGAGAATCTGGAGACGCTGTTCATCCCCAGCAACGACACGTACTTTAACTTCACTCTCGGAGCTCTGGACCCGTGAGCTCACCCAGTCTCAATCCCAGCCATATCCACGTCGGATCACTAACATGGAAATCTCCACAGGGCCGGCGGGATCTACTCGAGCACGGCCGACATGCTCAGATTCGGCGACGCGGTCCTCCAGAACCGCCTTCTCAACCCGGCCAAGACGCGCAGGTGGCTCAAGCCCTCCGTCTTCACCTCAGCACCGGGCAGCTTCGTCGGCAAGCCGTGGGAGGGCATCCTCTCAGACAACATCACGGCAGACGGCCGGCTCGTCGAGCTCTACACAAAGGGCGGCGACCTCATCAGCTACCACGCGGGGCTGGCCCTGGTCCCGGAGCACGGCATAACAATGTCGATCCTCGTCGCGGGGCCCGAGGTCAGCGCGGCCGCCTTCTCGTACTACACGCTCAAGATGAACGAGCTCCTCCCGCCCCTCCTCCGCGCCCTCGACGAAGCGGCGCGGGACGAGGCGCGGGCCACGATCGCGGGGACGTACGCGGACGCGGTGAGCAACTCGAGCCTGACGGTGTCGTTGGACGACGGGTGGGGCCTCCTGCTGGAGGACTGGTACATGAAGGGGTTCGAGGTGGTGCCGAACCTGAGCCGGTACGTGTTTCTCGGCGTCAACCTGACGGATCTCCCGCCCGCCACGGGCCGGACGGCGAGGCTGTACCCCACGGGCTTGGCCGAGGGCAACACGACGGCGTGGAGGGCGCTGTTTGACACGTTTACGGCGGAGCAGCGGGACGCGATTGATGATTTGTTCTTCTTCCCCAACGCGTCGTGCGTGTCCTGGCTGTCGATGGACCGGACGACGTATGACTACAAGGGGCTTGATCACTTTGAGTTCACGTACGGCGAGGACGGTAGGGTCGAGAGTGTGCTGCCCAAGCCGTTTAAGCTCAGCTTGAAGAGGGTTGACTAGGCGGGGGTTCGAAGAATTTGAAGGGGTGATAGTTTGCGTATCGTCTAAGTACTCTACTGAGTTTGAGGCTTTATACGTGTTTCTGAAGAGCTCTATGGGAAGTGATGAACAGACGACACATTGCCAAGCGGCACATCACCTTTCCATCGACCTCAAAACTGGAACAAAACAGTTGGACCTTGCGTGATAGGATTATAACAACCTATTATTTTGTCGAATTTTCTGTGTGGGCCTGCCGGTAAACGTACGATAATGTCGGGCTTCAGCATGGACTAAGGTAGGAATAATCTTTTCGAAGCCTCTTTTTGTACTTTCCCGGTCGCCATTACTAGTAGATGACAGGAATGGATGAATCAACCAAGTTCTCATAGGCCTTGAATTAGAGACCCTTGCTGCTTTCCCTCATGCTGATGACCAGCTTGCTGTAGAATCGAGTGTTCTGGCACGATTAGCAAATGAGAGTGGTACGAAATGTATTGATGCCGACAATTGTGCTTGAAGTTTATCCATCACACACAGGTAACTCTATTCTGAAAGATACTCAAAACTTCAGACCTTTTAACATTGTGCGGATGACTCCTATGAGCCAGAACTAGGCGTTTCTGGGCAGTTAAGTTGTGAGAATGCAACCCATAACCTCTGTACATGCTGGAGAATGGCCCAGAAAAAAGCTACTTTGCATAGGAGTCTGCTAGATAGAGATCTTCATCCGCGAATATATTTTTGTCTTTGGACCATTTTCATAGAAATCAGCTTGAGGAGCAAATTCTCCAATATGGCAATCTCGTGGAAGATGCTCTGCATAGGGTAGTGCTAGGTAAGGTGATGAGTCGATTTAGTCAACATATACTCAATAGTCGCCCTTCCTGCCTGGCACTTTTTGTTGATTCCCAGTAATTGGCATTGAGTACGCTAGAGAAATTGAAGAAAAATAATGGGCCTCGTCGTTTGTGAGCTTTATGCTTTCTGTAAGATATACCCGCCCACACTTGACTAGTTGCAGGCAGTCAGGCGGTCGACGCTGAAGTACAAACTGAAGTCACGACGAACAGATGCTGGCGTCATACTATCTGCCGTCCTCGCCGATCGCAGGAATGGAGGAACTCGGACTGACTTTATAGGACTCTTAGGGAGTGGCTGCGATACACCCACGTGCCTGTTCCTCTTCTCCTGCGATTATGTTTGGGCTGTCTGCCACGATGATGCAGTGTAGGGGGTTATCTGCTAGAGCACCCAACAAGGAAGAAAATAGTCTGGTACGGCAACTAAACTTCCTACCATTATTTAAGCATCGGCAGTGACATGCATTGACGAAAGGAGACGGGAAAGCGGCACAAACCGCGAGCAAAATCCCAGGCGTTAGGGCATCGGCTCAGCTCTAGAGAAGCTCAAGCTGTTGGCCCCCCGATCATCCACCTCAGTCATCATCAGTTGCACAGCAAACAAACCGTCAGTTTTCCATATTCAGCTCAGCCCCCCCTGACGACGGCCGCGACGACATATCACCAATCAAAAACAAAAGATCGTCCCTGCAGGTCAGAAGCCCTGTCATTCTCCCCTTCCCCATCTGCCCATCTCCCCAGGCTTCCGCTTCAGCTGGGGCTTCAATATCCCCATCCGTATTTGCATCATTCCACTAATAAACCAGCTCTAGCAGGGGTGGGTTCATTGGCAACCAAGGGCAGTGACAGGCAGCAGACTTTCGTCCCAGTCCCAACGAGCGGTGTCCTTCACTGCGACCACGGGAATACTGTAGAACAGGGGTGGAGAGTCCATGGATCCAGAGTAGGATCAAGTGGGTTGGGGGTTCAGTTGGTTCCTGGAATCCAGGCTCCAGCTCCAGCTCCGGCTCCAAAGCCTGAGGGTAATTCGGCAGCGCTCGGGGACTTTTTCTCTTCTTCATTTACCGTTTACGTGTAATATCCTTGACGCAACTTTATTGAACTCAATCGGGAACCCGTTGAAATTGAATACACACGGATTTGAACCATTGAGAAGCGACATTGAATTCTTCCCCCGGACAATGGGTCGGTGGACCGGCCGTAGCAGGTGTCCGAACCCGAACAGAGGCTGGACCCAACAATGAACTAACATCCTCGTGAACGGTTGAACCGGGGTGAGGATGAAGGTTCCAGGGGCGGGGAGGCGAGCGAGGATCTTCAGGTTGCACACGCGAACAACGACCAGCTACCATCAGAAGCTAGGCCGAGAAGAGTAGAGGGCGCTGCGGCTGTGTGGGAGGGTGATCCATAAGGCTAAAAAAAAATAAACCTTGGCTCTTCCTCCCAACCACTTTCCGATCTCTCACTCTCTCTTTCTCTTTCCACTTACTCAACCCCTCATACTAATTACCAGAAACGTATCTTGCCTCGACTTGTGGCGGGAGGGAACTCACGAGGGGGGCAGCAGCAGCAGCAGCAGCACACACTTGGTTCGAATGAGACTGCAGAAGCAGCAGCGTCGGGCAAGCCCAGACGCGACAATGGGCACCGGCCAAGGAAACCGACCCTCGAATCAGCAGCAGCAGCAGCAGCAACAGCAGGCGCCTTACCCACCGCAGCAGCGATACTACGTTCAACAACCACAGCCGCCGCAACCACAACCTCAATATCAACAGCAATACCAACCATACCAACCGCCGCAGCAAACCCAATACTACAACCCTCCCAGGCAGCCTCAATACGCCTCCAGGCCGACTTCTCCTCAACCACCACATCGCAAGCCAACCCAGCAGCAGCAGCAGCAGCAGCAATGGCAGTACCCCGCCGCCCAGCAGCAATTCCTCGCCGAGCTAGAAGTCCCAGCTTCAGTCCCGAGACCGACATCGACGTCATCACCCACCACCACCACCACCACCACCACCACATCAACCCCAGTGCCGAGTGCCGGAGCAACACAACATGGCCCCGTCGCCTACGAGATGCCCGCTGACGACGCCGTCGCAGTCAAATCCGCGACCCATCAAATCCCCAGAAAACCGCACAGGATAGCCTCCGCCTCTTCCGTCGCTGCAGCATCATCAACATCACCACCTCCGGCATCGCCTGCCGCAGCCAGACCGGAAACCAAACACGACGACGACCCAGATCAACAAACGGGCCAGAAGCAGGCCCCGCCGCCCCAGCCTCTTATCCAGGCGAACCCATGGGGCTTCTTCCTCGAAGACGACATCCCCCCGCGCAACACCCACTCCGCCACGCCGAGCAAGGATGACGCAACCCCGGAAGACCAGACGCTGTCGGTGAAACCGCTGCGCATCGTAAAGACCGGTTCTACCGAGGAGTCTAGCGGGCAGGCAAGCAGATCTTCGAGCAGTGTCGCGGATGATGTGACGCCCCCTCAGCCGCTGCAGTTCACAGCAGCAGCGCCGGCAGTCCAGGGCAGCAATGGCTCCGACTTGTCCCAACTAGCTCCGGCACCGTTAAGGCTCGCCCGGCCGCAGTCCCCGGCTGCGCAACCACGTCCATCCCGGTCCCCAAGTCCGGCAATCTCTACCGCTCCGGCCCCCGAAGCATCCAAGCTCCCGTATCCCGCCGAAGGTCCGTCCATCCCCACAGCGGACTCCCACCCTCACCACCAGTCGGGGCCTCAAACGACGCTCCCCTTCCATATCCGTCCTGCTGGCTCCCCTTCACCTGTCTCCCCTTCCTTCGCGCCCTCGCACTTTTCGCCGTCGCCAACGGGCATCTCGGCACCGCATCCACAGCTACAGTCGCATCAACACCATCCGCAACAATCACAACCTCACCCCCAACCCGCCTACACCCAACCCGCCTCCGTATCACCAGTCATCTTACAGTCCGTTCTGCCGCCAACCCTCCCCGTGAGCTCCTACTTTCCCCAGCAACCCTCCTACGCCCGACAGGAAGCCATGTCACCCTCTCTCTCGGCCCATCACAGCCCAATAGCGTCCACATCGAGACCGTCGACGTCGCATGGAGCCTCCCAGGCCTCCCAACACTTCTCAGACCAACCCTACGCATCTCCTCCGCCTTCGTACAACCAGGCCATGTCCCAAATGCACCTAGCAAACACCTCGCCAACGCCCACACAGACACAATGGCTCCCTCCATCGCGACCGCCCCCTCTCCAAAACCTATCACCAAACCCAGCCGGCGTCCCGCTACCCCTTAGCCCTCCGCCGACGCAGTACACCTACTCTCCCACCAGCATGGGCGCCCAATCCCTCTCTCCTCTGCAACAGCAATTCACAGGCTACAACATGCCGCCGCCCCCGGTCCGCCAACCAACCTACGTCAACGGAACCCAATACTACCAGCCGCAGCCGACACCGACACCCCCACCCCTCCCGCCTCGCAACTCTCCTACCATGCCGGGCACGCCGCACACGGGCTACGGCGCCCTCACACCCTACGGCGGACCTCCTCCCCCAACCCGGCCAAACTACCAAGCCCCGCCACCGAAAGCCGAATCCCGCCTCTTCAGCAGCGCCACGGCGCGGAAGCTGCTCACCAAGACGACCGAGCTCGTGGACCAGACCATCACGCCCTATCTCCAGGATAGCCGATACTACCGGCCTCCCCAAAACTGGTACCAAAACCAGAACCAGAGCCAGAGCCAGTTCACGCAGCAGAACTATCAGTACCCGAACCGGCCGTCAACATCTCAGGGGCAGCAGCAGCAGCAGCAGCAACAGCAACATTACCAGCAACAGCAGAGCTACGCCCCTTCTCAACGTGTGTAACTCGCATGATGCGTCTCTTTGTTGGGCTGCGAGACTGACAAAGTGATGTAGCAACGTATGCAACTTCCCAGACGTCACATCAGAATCAGGGCGTGACTCGTCCATCCTGAAAGGGGGGTAAAGCTGCATTTGCAAGCAGGAGTTGACAAAACAACAACAACATGGTTTGAATGGGGCTTTGCCGTCATGCTGACGAGGACTTCACATTCGCTTCATCTGCAACTGTCAAGCCGCCAGAACTACGCATGTTCAGGATCAGACTCCCGTGAAAGACTTCAGTGCCAGCACACGACGTGCCGATGGCCTGCTCGCATTTCCGCGGGTTTAAGGTATCTCGAACCAGCTTCCTAGAGAACGGGTTTGCCCATAAGCAAAGTAGAACGACGGAGGCACAGCCACCGGATACTTCTGAATGCTCAAAGCCGGAAGTTTTACCCTGGTGGTGCGTGGCCGTTGGACCGAGCGAGACGCGCGCTTGCGGGGATGACGTCCCATGCCTCCAGGATGTCGGCGTAAGCCACGCGACTCAGGATCTGACGCGACAAGTTACGTCCCAAGCGAGTATGGTTTTGGGCTCCGACCTGACGACGTAGTCATGCGGCTGGCTGAGATATATACAAACCTGATGTACTGCACCTTGAACTCTGCTGGAATCAAGCTAGTGCAACGTAGACATTGGGTACCATGACCATGGAAGACGATCGTCCTGCGAAATTCCGCGTCACACTGTGAAGTAAGAGTACTTGATGTGAGTCTGTATCTCCAAGCCAGTCCTTACCTATGTCCAAGAACCTCAACACCGACCTGAAGGGGTGGGTTATCCGATTCCCTTGGACTTAGGCAGACTAAAGTGATCGAGAGGCCTATCAACAGTGTTAATACTGAAGCCCATTTACATGATGTCATTGACAATGACCCGAAGATCAGTAAGAAACTGATACAACGCGCCCTGTCAGCGTCATGAGCTTCAACGTTCATGCCTACTCGTGCCAGAGTGCGCGGTACCATTATGCAGGGCCCAGCAGCGATGTAGGGCCATTCCGGGAAGACCGAGCGCAGTGCAGGCAAAAAGATGCGCAAGAAAGCATGGAAGCGGCCTCGAGATAAGGTTGACATAGGAATCAGGCGTGGATTGGGTTCCTCTCTAGCACCTTCGCAAGCTGTGCCCAGGAATTTCTTCCTCGGTCGGTGCCCGACGAGCGGGATAAAATAAAACTCTCTTTCCTCCTACGTGTCGCGTGCCGCGCAATGTTCATCTCAAGTTTCGAGGTGCGGAAATGATCCGTGTAGAGTTGGGCGTCAGTGAGTAGTCTGCTTCTTGAAAGGCTGGCAGATGATCTGGCAGATGAGAAACTTCATTCTTTTTTCATTTGCCGAGGGATATAATCTGACAATAACCTCGCTCATCCCATCCTTGAACCTTGTCGGCTGCCGGCGAAAGGAAGAGGTGACCTCGGCGTTGGAAATAAAGGCACACGTAGCCGTTACAGACCGGGCGAGAACCCCCGGCCGCACTCAAATCGACCCCATCTTCCCGGTGATCCGGAAGGATGGCAGAGGCGCTCGTGGCTTTGTGTTGCGGCCCGGAGCTTTAGTGGATGGTCTGACGGCGTTTCAAGGCCCTTACACCGGACATGGGATGTGACTAGATCATACACACCGGAAATCCAAAGGCAGCTTGAGGAGGCCGAGAGTACTTCCCGCGTCAGCCGCCGTAATGAAAGGGATTTCCGTGATGGCTCGATTGGCAGGTTTCTTCCATCCAGTCGCGCGAATCAACTTCAGATAAACCTGCTGTGAGAGGTCAGACAATGGTTATCCCGTTACCAAATTCAATGACATGCAGCCGCCGAGATCTTGTGACCTTGGTGTCCCAGTCAGATGGCTAGAAGCAGACAACATCAGGCAACTCGCAGATACTCGGTGAGGACGGCGCCAAGCACCTCCCAAAGCCAAATGAACCAAGAGGCGGGGAGACCAGGCGATCGAAGGGCGGTGATGTGATGGAGAGGGCCCATTGATGTAGTCCGAGCTGCGGGTGGATTGGCTGACGGGGGAAGCCCGAAAGGGATCGGCACTGGCCAGAAGCGCATCGGCCTTGAGGTTGAAGGGTGTCCTCCCACAGTAAGCTCTCGATTACCCGGCTTTGCGGGGGTCTTGGAAGCATCGGCAACAGTTTGCGAATCGTCAAGCACACATCAGCCTCTCTGCCGCGACATTTCATCATTGAACCATTTTGGTAAGACGGATGTTGTTTGTGGACGCGGTTGCTGGTAACAGTTCCAGATCAATACCTCAAAAACCTTTCTGAACAATGGAATTGCCACTCCAAATCTTAGGCACCCTCCTACAGGCTCTGGTTGCCTCGCGGTTGGTTGGTGTCAGAGTCCAGAATTAATAGCTCTGCTGACGCTGGACTGACAGGTTCTGGGGAGAAACAAAAGCATTGATCTTTCGGCGGGGTCTAGATTTCGGTAGTCTGGGCATCTCAAGGGACAAAGCGAAGTGGACGCCCGTTGGCCTGTAGAAGAATAAGTGAGATTCCTGAACCGACACTACGGAGACGGCGTGATGGATTGTCTCCTGTTTCGAGACGTGCATGCGGCCCAATGTATCGAAATCTTGCCGAGGCGCACCGTAGCGCCGCTAACGGCGGTGAGCTTCCAGAATGTCATCCACCACTTTTCTCGAACGTCTAATTTAGGACATAACTATGCAAGTCACTGGAGCTGCCCCCCGGGGTTTGAGGCAAGCTTACGGATACTCCCAACTAACAGCCGAGTACGGATAGAGATGGGAAGAGGCATTTGATTGCCTTTCCGAGGCGGCCTCCTAAGGTCGATTGTAGCTATTACCACGCAGCACCTATTCAAGGCCGAGAAAGCGCAGGTGTTGTTGCCGCCACAAAGTCGTGGCTCCTTTATAAAGGTGGGTGAATAATAGATACCTGGTCAAAGAAAATTATGCTGCTGGATGGCGGCTAATGTTGATTGCCAAACAAACTAGGCGCCTTGTTAAATGCCAGTATCATTTGCAGTAAGGTAGTGACAGACGACGGACAGCCATTCTCTGTCGCGTAAGTAGCCTCTATCGGTTACAAATACCCGCGATGCCTCAGTCAAGTCTGATGGGGGGAGAGAGAGAGTGTGTGTGTAGGTGTTCGGGGTTAGGGCCCAATTACTCGGAGGCAGAGCGAAAGAAACGCTAGGGATCGTTGTCTAAGGTTTGGTGCCCAACTCTGACACAGTTGGCTGAATAGGACGGTTCGGACGTCTGAGTCGCGAGCTTCGGCCAAGCTGAGGGCAAAATCCAGATTTTGGCTGTCACTCACGGCGGAAATTCCTGATCAGTAGACAGCGATGCCGGGAAATGCTGGCTTGTTTACTCAAATTGCCATGCAACCTTGCAGGGCCTTTGACTTTGTTCGTTGTTCGGGGCCGACCGAAAGACCTGGACAAAAGTGACGTGGGCGCCGTCGAATAGCTTCCATGGCGTTTGCCCCGACGCCACAGCGTGCTCCTCTAGCGCACGGCGCATCTGAAAGACGGCAAGGCCAGAGATGAGATGCTGTCCACGATGGGCGGTTGCATTACAGGCCTTTGCCTCTCTCTGGTGCATCGTAGGCGAGGGGGCGGAGGGTCCGACAAAGATCTCCCTTAATGCCGCCCCTTGAGGGAGATCCTGTACGGTTTTAAGGAGGGAGGGCCAAGGGAGGGGGCTTGGGGCATCGGAAGATGATATCTCGGATGCCAGCAGCGACATCCGAGGGGCCGTTTTTGCATGACCAAGGAGGTGGCACTGTGCCGGTTCTAGCAAGCCTTCGAGCCGATGATTATGCCATTCATTCAATGGTGCTGACTTGACATGGCCAATTTTTCGGTTTGCATTGAGTTGTTATGTCAGCTTCAGGCCGGAAGGATATGCCCCTGTACAGCACTGAAAATAGGTATCTCGATCTTGCAGCGCTGGTGCCCTCGACCGTCCGATTTATGACTGGTCTTCTGACCGACAGTCTGGAGTTATTCTTCCTTGGGGGTTCGAGCGTCGTGATCTCGTTGCGGGGGAGACGACTAAGAGCGGTGAGGCTCTCGCTGGTCGGCGATTAGCGCATCCTACCTACTCTGGCGGGAGCAGTGTCACCTGAGGGATAAGTAGACGCTGGTAAATGCGGCAATGCCAAATGATGGGGGGTTGATATTGGTCCTGGAATTATATGGCGACTCCCGTTGGAAATTGGCGTGACAATGGCCGTGTAGTCGTAGACTGGTAATGTTCCAATTGATGCTGATACGCAAATGGCAGGATGAGTTGAGAAGTCAACAAGGTTGGCTTGCAAGGGCGTACGCCCGTTGTCTCTAGTTGCTTGCGGACCGTCGTGGGAAGGCATTGCTTCAGGGGGGTGGTTCCGGCATGGATCCTGAAGATGTGGTTCGCGCTCTGCGCGTAGCCCGGCGACAAATGGATCGTCGTCAGCTGCAGGTGATTTTGGTCGGATTGCAGCCTGGTAGGTTACCTATCTCAAAAGCCACTGGGTTCCGTGGTGGATATCGGGTTGCGATGACGGAAGCCCTGGCTATCTTGGGAATGCTGAAGGACAACCAACTGTCCATCTGCTCGAAGCCTCTCCTGACAGTGTCTCCATAACAAAGAGCCTTGAGTCCGGATACCAGGTCGTCTTGGAGGAAATTTTCACAGAGTACAATGGTTTGAGTGGCCAATCCAGGGTCCTTTGCCGCCGTCAGGTGTCGCCCCTCTGGCATCATTCCGTGTCATTGAAGGCCCCAATCCAGCATGTCCAACTCACGTTCATTCCGTAGACTGGAGGCTCGTCTTCCGAATGTAGCGATTCGAGACAGGGTTCCTGGGTCTTGGAGAGACGGGGTTGGGGGCGCCTGTAGCGGTTTTCAGGCTCTGGAATTTCCCCCTTGGGGCGGTGGAACGTTGGGCGGGTGGGCCGCCGTAGGACTAGGGCTGCCGAGGGGCCTCAAATGTCTCGACCAGGTATTTCCCCGTCGTTGTCCAGTGACCCGGCGAAGAGACGTTGGTTGCATTGAATTGCATGGCCAGTGCGGTGTTCCAATTTCAAGATGGCCTCAAGATGAGGATGAGCTGGTGCTTGGCCAGACCACATATCACCCTACTTGGGGCTTGGTTGACCGGTCACTGGTCAGGTTGTGTCGAGTGTCGTCGCAACTGTAGTGGTTGAGCCGCCGCGGTCGTGTTTGTATCATTGTGTCGGTATGCTGGTGTGCCTTGGTAAGGACCGTGGTAAAGCTGTGCCTTGGTGAAGTCGCACTAGGCTCGCTTTCTCTGCCGGTGTTTCTTTTGATATCTGGGGTGGTTTGTCCAGCTGGTGAGTGAGGTGAGATGAGCTAAAGCGAAGCGAAGCGACCAGGGCATGGCATCTGCGACAGGCGCAGAAGCAAAGGAGCTCGGGAGGCTCTTTGAGGTCACAGACGGGCAAAATTCTCGAGGCGAACAACTATAGGTAGACAGATGCTTTGTGATGATGGTAGTCAAGCCAAGGCGAGAAGTTCAGACTGTCGACTGGGCAGGGGACGATGCCCGAGGTAGGTTACCTTAAGGTACGCGGGATCCCGTCAAGTTGACGACTGCAGGGACGGGTAGCCGCGAACCACCAACGACGCTTGCAAAGGTACTCTCTGAGATACCGTAAAATTCCTTATGTAATGCCGTGTGGGAGAGGGGATGGCCAGGTAGAAGGCAGGTATCCGGACCTGGGACTGGAGGGCAGGAACTTGGATATGGTACGTGCCTCCCTCGGCAATAATAGCGTGCAACAGCGTGTACCTGCCACCGGATTTCTGACCGAGGTGGTACCTTTCAGGCTGCCCAAGGCACCTACCCAAGGTACCTCCCTAAGGCAGATCGTCTCCTTCCATTTATGCCTTCTTTTCCCCCCGTCCAGTCTCCGTGTCCTATTCAGCACCCAGCGCTTGTCCGCCTCAGTGGTCCGCCGCCCGCCGCCCGCTGCCCGCCGCCAGCCCTCCTTCGCACCTCGCGCCCTTACCCAGTCTGCCGCCTGAGGTGGTGGTCCACGCCCGCGCCTGCTTCCCTGGGCTTGTTCCGTTTGCCTTGTCGCCTCCACTTTTGGGCTCCCATCCCATTAAGGTACCCTCCTCCCATCCTCCCATTCTTCCTCCCTCCTTCTTCTTGCTCTTCCCTTCTTCACCCCACGATCTCTATTGCGAGCCCTTGATTGCCAAAGACCGTCCCTGTCCCTCCTCTTTGGACACGGCTTTCGTTAGCTTTGGAGACCCTTTTCCAATTTCAATAGCATCAATTACAAATCACACCCTCCCGCCCCCATCATCGATCCATCAACCCATCCACCCCTCAGCCCATCTCGACCTCGAGCCCATACTCACTCGGTCGGCCTCTTTCGTCACAGGTACCATCAAATCACCACGCACACGACTTCCTCCGCAGAGCACGTCGACTCGTTCCTCCTCTCTCGATATCAAGCACGCGCGAACTCTCGACAGGTAAGCCTCTTTTCCCCTTTTTGCTGCATCCCTTCCCAATCGCCTCGATCCTCAATCCATCAACAATCACTTACGGCCTCGGACCACACACCCCTCTGCTTGCGATTCACTCTTCGTCCGTTTTGCCCAGCCTAGCCTCGGGCTGACCGTGGGTTCTGGTGGTGGATCCGAGCTTTGCCTCATTCAATCTTCTCTTCCAAGGCCTCGACCAACTCTCTCCACTCCTCAAACTACCACCTCCCTCTCCTCACACAACGTCCTCGCCTACGTTCCACCGCCTTAACGTCACAAATCAAATACCTCTCCTGCCTCATGCATCAATGCTAATCTCGTAATTCAGGCCAGCCCATTGCTCCGCTGTCAAAAAAGTCTTTGACTCGTCGGTCGACAACCCAACTACTTCGCCAAAATCTGCATCCGAAAGGTGCAGACTCTACACATCAGTCAAGATGACCACAATGGTAAGTGAATAGCAATGGGATGACTTGGTTGAAAATGGGATACAGCCTCACCAGGAGCTACATTACACACCCTGGCTCGAAGTGCTCGACCTCTTCACTGAGACGCTCTCCCCCGTCGTCGTTGTCTGCGGCTAATCTCGATGACAGGATCTTCGTGTCGGTAACAAGTACCGCATCGGTCGTAAGATCGGTTCTGGTTCTTTCGGTGACATTTACCTTGGCACCAACATCATCTCCGGCGAGGAAATCGCTATTAAGCTAGAAAGCGTCAAGGCCAAGCACCCCCAGCTTGAGTATGAGGCCAGAGTCTACAAGTCCTTGGCCGGCGGCGTCGGCATTCCCTTCGTCCGTTGGTTCGGCACCGAGTGTGATTACAACGCCATGGTGCTCGATCTCCTCGGTCCCAGTCTGGAGGATCTCTTCAACTTCTGCAACCGCAAATTCTCCCTGAAGACTGTTTTGCTTCTTGCTGATCAGTTGATTTCCCGCATTGAGTACATCCACGCCAAGTCTTTCATCCACCGTGATATCAAGCCCGACAACTTCCTCATGGGCATTGGTAAGCGTGGCAACCAGGTCAATGTTATCGACTTTGGTTTGGCCAAGAAGTATCGTGACCCGAAGACGCACTTCCACATTCCTTACAGAGAGAACAAGAACCTTACCGGAACCGCCCGCTACGCTTCCATCAACACCCACTTGGGTGTCGGTATGTTGTCTATCCGCCCACCTCATCATGTTCTATTTCCCCGTGGCCACTGACAACTTTGCAGAGCAATCTCGCCGTGACGACATGGAGTCCTTGGGCTACGTGATGCTCTACTTCTGCCGTGGATCTCTTCCCTGGCAGGGACTTAAGGCTGCTACCAAGAAGCAGAAATACGACCGCATCATGGAGAAGAAGATGACCACCCCGACCGAGGTCCTCTGCCGCGGCTTCCCCAACGAGTTCGCCATCTACCTCAACTACACCCGATCCCTCCGATTCGATGACAAGCCCGACTACAGCTACCTCCGCAAGATCTTCCGTGATCTGTTCGTCCGCGAGGGCTTCCAGTACGACTATGTCTTCGACTGGACTGTTTACAAGTACCAGAAGAATGCTCAGGCAATTGCTCAGGCTGCAGGAGCCACTCAGGAGGAGGATGAAAAGGCGCGGGCATCTCGCACGAATGCCGCTACTGCTGGTCAGCCGACCCCTCAGTCTGGCGCTAATAAGCCTAACGCCCTTCCCAGCTCGCGCCGCAAAGTGATTGAACGAGGATCTGGTGCTGGTGTCAACACCCCAGATACCAACCGTGCCGTCGGTGGAAGTGACAGGATGTGAGTTCCCGCCCAAGCAGCTCACCGACCGCCGGCTGTTGAACCTGTTGCTGACAAACGCATGCTGACCTAGTGGACAATGATCTAGTTTGCGCTCGGCTACGAAGGGCGCAAGTCCAGCATATGGTTCAAGTTCCCATCTGCCGAAGTGATCCTCGACGGCGGTAATCACATGCTCTCTGTCCAACACGTTGGAGTATGACCAGACCGGCTCACTGGCTTTATTCCATCCGTGGCATGGCTCCCAGACATCACGATTGGTACGGGTTCTGCTCACCAGCAGGGTCAATTTGATGATACGCCTTGCCACGCGAACTGGTCGCATTCTCCTTACGCATTCTCAACTTCGTTCTTCGACATATGTGGGTTGATTTCTACGAATGACTCGATTCTTCATAACAGGACACTCGATTTCACAGACGCCCGGTAGATCTTGCTGCCAAAGCTCTATGGTTCGGTTTCCATGGTAGGAAGAACTCGAACGGCACTTCCGGTACCTCAACTTTTCGAGGCGCCATCGTCGGGCCGCACCGCGAGACATTCCCCCCACACCCAACTTGAGTGCCCTGGTTTTCGTACCTTGCACCTGGTCGTTGCGTTGGAGCTGCGTTCACCGACGGTCTTTCCTTTTTTCTGTTCTATTTCTTCTACTTTTCTTTCGATTATGCGCATTACGAGTTGATTTTCATTCGCGGCTTCGCACTTGGTCAATCACGCGTCGAGGCCCGCTTCTGGGGAGGTATTTAGGTGAGGGGTCGACAGCAAGACAGAAACCTTTGCAAAATGTCGAGCCTGCCGGCATGGTCTGACAAGATTTGCGACTCTCAACAAGTCGGCAAAAACACCAGGCGGCAAGAGGACGACAATTGCAAAGCTAATGAGGAAGAGTCTGGCATCTTTTCTTTGACTTTTGATTCGGTTCGGTTGGTTGGGAATCCGTTACTCAGATACTGCACGAAGGGGACACCAGGGCTGGTGACTGGTTGCCTAAGCTGGTCCCCGGCAACTATTATGTGTTCTTGGGGGCGGTCTGGCAACGTGCTGGGATATCGACAATCTGTACATGGCTCCGCCGGTGGTCAGTGTAGATGGTTGTCCTCAGGACAAGGGTGCTCAGACTTTCCACACTGCGCCTCCATTATCCACGGGCTTTCACCGGCCTGGCAAGCTTGCAACATGATGGAGGCGGAGCACGGGTTATCGTGGGCTTGTCGGTGGGCATCGGGACCAACCAAAGTACGCATGGTAATTTCTCAATTTAACATTGTCGCGCGAATCTTGTCTCCTGGAACTTGTGAATCTGGCGGTGAATAACTTGGTACACTTAATTACGATGTTACAGAGTGCTCCGAAGAGGAAAGGCCGCGCCCAGGTCGCTACGACGACTCCAAGAAGCAGTACACTGCAATAGCCAGAGTCATCATCTTCCATGACGGGGGAACCTTGACTTAGCATGCTATGTCCTGAACAAAGTGGATGTTCAAGTTTCCTATGCTTGGATGTGAAATGCGAAGCGGTGGTTTGAAGTCATGAGACTAGCTGGCTCTATGGGTCAGGCGTGGCCTCGCTCGACTCCATATTGCAGGGCACGTATGATGGACCAGCTAGCTGCCTGCATGAAGCGCCAGAAGCAGTACCTCATGTATGTCGTCAGATGCAAAGTATATCCATTTTTATTTTTATCTGTATCCGTATCATCGCGACATATTCCAATCGGACTCAGTAATGTCGTGCATCACGATAAAAGTTTATTTTTTCATCGCATCATTCGCACCCAAGTTGACCTACGCTATCTGTCAGGTCACTACAGCACTATTTCCAGGATTTTGGATGGCATTTGTTTACTACCTCTCAAGTCAACTTCATAATTTCACCATCACCGTCCGTCTGAAGTCGGGTTTAGCAACTTCTCATTGTGAGTTTTGGCAAAAACCAAGCTTGGAAGCGGGGCATTTGGCGTTGAGCTTGTCTCCTTAGGTTCTGATCAATGCAATTTGAAAGCTACTGGGCAGCTACCGGGCAGCTAGCGCGTGGCTGAGTGTTGACCGCACTTGCAACTGCTTCGTAGGCGATCCTGCCATGCCATTTTGGTGAGCCCGGTCAAGGACAATGTCAATGGTTTTAGGACTTAAGTCGCGTGCTCTTGTCAAACTTCGTAATCCTCGTTGTCCTTCTTCTCCTTCATCTCCTCCCTTATTTTTTCCTTCTCCCAACAACCTCTCGGTTTTGTGAATCCCCGCTTGTGACTTTTCACCCGGTCACATCGATCTAAGCAACACTCTACTGAGCATTTGGGAATAGAGGAGGGGTATCCGTACAGAGCTGACTAACAAGGTAAGCCACCTCTAGCCGAGTAATCCCAGCACACACCAAATCGATAATCGTCATCGGCGCCTGTTACCTCCGACAGCTAAAATGGCGACCCTTGTCGACGTCAACTCCACCGCACCCGCCGACAAGATGGCTCCCTCAACGCTCGACCTGTTCATGTTGACGTTCAATTGCGCCAAGAAGTTCATCGACACGTCCGTTTTCGCGTCAAACCTCCACACGGCTTTCCAGCAGAGTGCCACCCCACTCCCAGAGGTTGTTGTCTTGTGAGTGGCCCTCGTGATCTTGCACTCCTCAACACTGCTAACCAAGCACGTCCTCCAAGCTCCCTGCAAGAGGTCGCGCCGTTATCGTACTCTTTCATCGGCGGCTACTTTCTCAGCCCGTACCTCGCCCGCTTCGAAGAAGCCCTGAATCTTGCTGCTACCAGATACACCAACGAAACCGCCCCAAACGACGACAGTCACGATGAAGCCGACGACGAAACGATATTGGTTAAGCCTACCGCTCCTACACCTGTGCGGCCTTACACTCTGGTCCGGGCTCGCAATGTCGGTATGACGGCCATCATGCTCTTTGCACGGAACCCCGAGTCAATTTTGCGTGTGCAAGAGGCAGAGGTGGGCTTCGGCGCTGCAGAAATGGGCAACAAAGGCGCTGTGGCACTCAGGGTCTTGTATGAAGGCACAATGGTCGACGGTGGGAAGAAGGAGACGGAGCTCACCTTCGTGGCTACACACCTTGCGGCAATGGAGTGGAATCTGCCCAGGCGAAATGCCAACTGGGCAACCATCATGCGTGGCCTGACATTCGAGAACCCAGAGGACATTCTGCACCCGAAGAAGAGCAAGCCCAGTACCCCCTCTGCACAGGGAGAGAGCCAAACCGACGTTGCCAGGGATGAAGCAGTGCACCTCTTGCATGACGAGCATCACGCACAGACACTTGCTCTCCAGGAACGGCTACAAGAGATTTCTGTTTTCAAGCCAAGCTCCCATCTTTTTGTCGGTGGCGATCTCAACTATCGCATCTCAACAACGAGTCCGCCACCGATGGCAACGTTCCCTAGTCTCGATCCCGAAAGCGAACACCATTATGCTCACTTCTTTGCCTTGGACCAGCTCACAAGAGAACGCCAGGCAGGACGTACTCTGCATGGCCTGAGTGAGGCGGAGGTCAAATTCCCTCCGACCTACAAGTACAACGTTCTGCCCCCGGACGACACCCGCCTAAAAGTTGATGGCGTGGAGGACGTGCCTTGGGTGTTTGCGCCTCATCGATATCCCGGTTGGACGGATCGCATCTTGTACTTGGATGTCCCCTCTTGGATCAAGACCAAGCCTCAAAAGGTCGACGTCAAGGCCTACGACGCCATGCCTGTAGTCCGCAGCTCGGATCACAGAGCCGTGTACCTGAGAGCCGCGGTTCCGCTACTCACCGAGAAGGAGCTTGTCCGTTCATCGACAGAAGCTCCAGCGTCCAATGCGGTAGATCCTCGCCTCGTGCTCCCTGTAGCCATCGATCCTGAGGCCTGGGAGAGACGTGCGGCAGCAAGACGGAAGGAAGTTCTTGTTGGCTGGAGCATGTTTCTGTGGTCTACTAAGCAGGGAGCGATAATACTGGCCACGCTGCTGGCCGTGGGCGCAGGTGCTTGGTGGCTGAGCCAGTGAGCATGAAAGAAGGCGATTCGTATAGGAGCTTGATGATACGCTGGCCTTGTTTGTCGTTTGGAGTTTCAAGTACACGCAAAAGACGGCTCTTAGCGATGGAGGGTTGAAGGACCGCGAGCGGATTTGGCAGGAGCGCAGCATTGATTACACAAAGCATGAACTCGAATTACGATAGACTCAATTCAAGACGTTGGTTTCGTGTACTAACAACCTGTCAACTTTGATGTTGGGTGTCAGGGGCTCAGTCTCATCGAGGTATTTTTTACTAAGCAGAATACACACCAATCGAATCCAGACAGAGGGCCAGCAGCTTCTTTAGCTAACTCATCTTGCCATGAACATTCCAACATGTCTGAAAGGGAAACATTGGGTCAAGACATATCCGGCTGACACGAGGAGCGAGTCAAACTGTTTCCGACAGACAATCGTCTTTCGTGTGACCTTCGTCAGCGGCGTCCTGGCGTCTTACGGGGTTTCCAGGCCGCCGGGTCGAGAAAGGGGGGGGAGAGGGGACTTGGGACGCAAGGGTCATCCCGAGACGAATAAACCCCCCTTTTTGGCAGCTCTAGATGAGGGTTTTTCATGTTCATTTTGGGAAGAGTTCTCCCTGGAAGAGAGAGGGAAGGAACAAAGAAAGGGGTCCCGAATCCCGGTCCGGCTCGTCCGTTGACTTCTCACTATCTGAAAAAAAAATTTGAAAAATAAGGGCCGGAACTGCTCCGACCATGAATACTGCTCACCTACCAGTCTTCCCCTTTCGTATCCGCATGTGTCTGCAGAGGGTGCCATCTGGAACGACATCAGTTGAAGAAGACTGCTCTTTGGACTCTGAGGCTCAGGGGTGGGGGTGTTATGTTGGCTTGGCATTTCGTGACTTATGACCAATTCTCGCGATTCACTTGCGTCTGTCAAATGAGAACCTTTGTATAAATTTTCTGTGGCGGCCGGCCGGAACTCTGCCCCGACAAAACTAGTTCATACTCACTCACAAGAGTCTTAATGGTGCGCTTGGAAACCCACTTGACTTCCGAGTGAACGCCCTGGACGTAGGGAGTACATACGGAGTCGAGTCCCAAGACAGGGCAGTCATTGTCAAGACGATGCGAGGTTCGTTTGGGCGACATATAAAGGGTTAGCTGGTCCGATGAATCGCCGGATCGAGGCGTAAAACCGCAGCCCCAATTGAGCGTGTAGAGAACTGTTCTTCAGCCTTACACCTACGCCGAACGTCAAAGGATTTTTCGAAACGCACTAGGCTGCTACAGACAATCGAGATGCGGCGTGCGACGAACGCCGCGATCCTCGGAAGCGAACGGGGGCCGTGCCACCTCAACAATGAATATTTTCATCTGTGTATTGGGGCTTGAAATTGGTACTTATTTCAGGAACTGCCGAGCGGGCGAATTGGCACCTTCGGAATTCGGGAGAACTTTTGCAATGAGGAGACAGCGGTGCATTGGGGCCTAAAGTGACATAATTGTCGGGCACTCGCCGCAGTCAGGCACGGGCGCGACTCATGTATAGGATCAAAATGTAAAGGAAGCAGGACGCAGGCCAAGCCGCATGCCGCTGACGAAGGGCTGATGAGGATCTCGGTGATGTGTTTCTGGTTGGCTGATTGCTGGCATACCAAGGTCTCCTAGTCCTGGGAAATATCAGTTCTTGGCCAAACTTTCTTGGGAGCGGGCGAGTTCATGGTGTAGTTTTTTAGCTCGGCCATGACGAGATGTTGAAATTCAGTCGAGGTGATTGCATTGTTGGGCTTGAGCGAGCTTAGTAGAATGGCTATGCATCCCAACGCTGTGTGAACAGCCGGCGGTTGATTTGCTAGGCCCTCGTGGAAACGGCTCAGATTGCGAAGCCGAAAGCATGTCGTGCCGGATGTTCGTCGGGAAGAGTCAATACACGAGCTGAGGGCGGTGGGCGAGAGGTGGGATGAGATCGAAGCGTTGCGTCATAGCCGCCGATAAGAGTCGCTTGCATGCAAGGTGTAACACTAATTAGGCCCTTTCCCTCCCCGCGGGACCGGATACCGCATGGCCTGGGCAAGATCTGGCTGACGAAGAGAGGCAGCCCTGTGTGAAACTAAATATCTTGGATGCGACGAAAGCCTCGGAGGAGGGGCATCAACGGCTGTTGATTCAACAGGAACGCCTCAAGACGCCGTCTGCCTAGTCCAAGACTGTATCTGTCAGTTGGGTTTGCGTCTCCTTTCATTTGTCTTTACCGTCTCCTCATCGGCTTTTAAGCGTCCGGAGGCCCCGTCAGAGCCACTTTTCATTCGCGTTGGCAGCCACATTTGCTACGCCACGGCAGCGTATGCCGGTGGAAGCAGGGCATGATACCACCGCCCCTTGTTCGTGGCCGATGGAACGCCGTATCAAGATGCGCGCCACCGAATGACCGGCAGGACGGAGAGTGAGCAAATATAGAAGAGCATACGGCAAAACTGAGGCCCACGCGAAACCGGGAGACGGTCCGCTGCAGTTCGGGCTCTGGATTGATGCGATGGGCGGGATGGGTGTCTCCTCCTTGTTGTCTCGGAAGGGATCTATATGTTACATCTGCCAAAGGGCCCTTGAACGAAGAAATAGCCGACAGTCCTTGGGCACATCAGGGTTTCGGAGATTTACTCGAATGCGGGAGTCGGGGGCCGCCAGAAACAAGACGGGCGGGAGTAGCTAATCGTAAACGACATCGGATTGAAAGTAATTTGGCTCGGCTGATATCAGCAAGTCCGAGTCCAGTGGTCAACAGGGGGTGGCAGGGCTCGCAGGAAGAGGCGAACGGACCAGCAAGAAATGGAAGGGGCGAGGATCCCGTAATACTGCCGTGGTGCGAGCTGATTAACAGAGCTGAAGCGGTGCCATGTGGGGGTGACGGACAGCCTCCGTAGCTGACGGTTCCAGGCGGATGTTCCAGACGGACTTGTCGAAGAAGAGAGGAAGAGGAGTGAAGCCGAGGCGGGCCGAGTCGAGACATGGGCTGAGGCCCCGGATTCCCACCTGGTGGACTGGACGCCATTCCCAAGGAGGAAAGAGTATGTCGGTGGTTCCGCTGGATTACACGCCGCACCCGCTGCAAAAGCTGCATAGTCGAGACTTGTTTCTCCATCGACTCTATCTGGTCGGCACCGCGGGTGGCTAATGAGGTAGCTGTGGATTAGGATTGGACGGGCTGTGAGGGAGTGAGAACGGCGACCGAGATGTCAAAGTGCAGCTGTCGGTGAGGTTGCAAGTGCGGGTTAAAGGAGCGACTGACCCATCCACACAATGCGCATCCACATCCACACGGCCTTCCATTGCCCACGCGGTGAAGACAGGAGGTACTTGGGATATACCTTGCCTCATACCTACGCCGTGGGTAGTGCCCAAGCACGTGCCAAGGTATCATAACGTATCTTACTTGCAAGGTGGGCGGCGTGGGAGGGTACCCCCGTGTTGTCGGGTAGCAAAGAAGCCAAGAACCCACGCCTCTTGCCTGGCCATAACGTGGTGTTCCACGTCCCATCCCGGCAATCACAAGTTAAGGTGCAACCCAGCAAGCAGCCAGACGCACGGCGTGGTTGTCGTGGTGCCCCTCCCCTCCCGGTCCGCCCCATAAATGCTCCAACCGTAAAGTATGTAGCTGTCTATTCTGTTGCCTTTCGTCATTGCCACGGCCCTTTCATCTGAAGGTTTTCCTCTCCCTGAAAGCTGAAAGGCCCCAAAGGTCACCCAACGAGAAGAAGACGCACTCTCTTCCCACCGCATATCGAACAGAGACAGAACAGAGACAGAACACACAACACAGAACACAAAACACATACGAAGAGAAGAACGATATTATACCCTCGCCCATATCAGACGCCGCGAACCGTACTCGGCTACCTTACCTCACCTTGTTTGTAGCAGTCAGTTGCCCAAAGGGGACAAACAGTGTCTCCCGCCAGCTCCAGTTCCAGCCTCCGAACCACATCGATCCCCAAATCTGGGCCTAGACTCAGACCCAGCACCAGACGAAGCCGGGCCCGAACCGAACCCCTTTCCACCACCACAATTCCCATTGACCACTGACGAGACCCAACGAGCACCACATACCTCTCTCCCTCCGTACCCATCTTTCCACCTCACGGCGCCTGGATTGCCTTGTACTGTCTCAACTCACCTCGACCAGCTTTTCGGGCCGCGACGGTGATGGACGACGTGCTGCCCAGCTGAGCGATAACCTTACCAAACAACCTCCCAGACCCGAATCGAACTCCTCGGCTCTTTATGACGGGAATATCGGCCATCAATAAAAAACTACACAATATGGCGGCCACCGTTGCGCATGCGAGTCCTCTGCCGAATCAGGTCGGTGGAGGATTGTCCAAGATGATGGGCAGAGGCAGTAGTAGTAATGGCCACCCTCAGGCGCAACAACATTCCGACGCTGGAGCTGGACCTATTGCAACCCGGAAATTGTCTCCTCAGGACTTCCGCGTCGTAAGGACGCTTGGAACTGGTCCGTTTGCACCCCGTTGCCTGTGTCTCTCTGCACCTACCGTGTCTCGGAAGGCCGTTTGCTAATTATGACTACCGTCACGTAGGTACCTTTGCTCGAGTGTGTCTTGTGCGCCCAGCGAATGCGACTGAGGAGGAGCGCGATACTGTCTTTGCTCTGAAAATTCTGCGGAAAACAGAGGTCATCAAGCTTAAACAGATCGACCACGTTCGTCACGAACGTCTAATTCTCGGCGATGTTGCCGGCCACCCCTTTATCACGAATCTCATCTCCTCTTTTACCGACCGCGACCACTTGTATATGCTGCTGGACTACGTCCCTGGCGGCGAGCTGTTCAGTTATTTGCGCAAGTTTCGGCGCTTCGAAGAGGAGACGGCGCGCTTCTACGCTGCAGAGATTGTTCTCGTGTTGGAGTACCTGCACGAGCAGCAGGGCCGCGTTGCCTACCGTGACCTCAAACCCGAGAACCTCCTTTTGGATGGGGAGGGCCACATCAAGCTGGTTGACTTTGGCTT